AGTAGTAGTAGTAGTAGTAGTAGTAGTAGTAGTAGTAGTAGTAGTAGTATGAGTTGTCGAGTGTCAAACCCTAAGACTCGTAACCATGAAGACATATGAAGACTAAAGCCTCAGGTTCTTCCCTACTTGCTGGACTTTGTCCAATCACGCCTAGAAAATACTCATGCGAGCACACGAGCGACTCCATTCTGCTCCAGCCACGCTGCCTCAGTTGCACGCGCACAATGTGGAACCGAACCAAAAAAAGACGTGGTTTCTCTTGTTGAATTGTTGAAGCAAAAACAAAGACAATGTTTAAGACAAAGATCTGTTTCGGAATGTTCCTGGTCCAATGCGAGATCCAACGCAGTTGCACCGTCAACTCGTGCAAGATTCAGGTCTGCTCCAACTGACTTCAGGAACTCCAACGCCTTGTCGCAACTCTTTTTGCAAAGCAAAAACATATGTGCAGTGACCATTAAAGATTTGAACACGGTATGGTCGGTATGATATATAGTATGTTTCAAGTCAACAGTTGTTGACAGTGGGCTGCTGTGAGCTGCAGGCAAAGGACCAATCTATCCATATAGATTCATCTGGGTTTATGTCTACTAAAGTTCACTCCAGGTGAATGTGTATAACGTTCACAAATACGCTGAAGAAAATGCTCCTTTAAACCTCCACAGGTTGCATTGCAAATTTTGCTGCAAAGTTGACATATAGAAACCCGCAAGGGATACAGGTCGCTCACGGCATCAGAGGGTTCGTTACGGGTAGAAGCCTGTTTTTCACATGGGTAGAAGAAGCCTTCTTGCAGGACGAGGATGATGCAAACATGCATCAAAGCCTCCTCAGCCTATGCTCCTTGTCCAGAATGAGGCAAACCTTCCGACGCCATGGCAAGACTTGCTTTGTTTTGGAGATGAGCAGATGGAGCTGCTGAAGCTTGAGGGCCTGCCGCACGGCAACTGCCTTGCTGGGAAATATAAATGCAGATTAGCACGGAAACATATCGACAGGGGCAGAGCGATCAAGTCAGAGAGAAGATGGAAGGAGAAGAAGCCGCGTGACGAGACAAAGAAAAAATGTCCGAAATGCTTTGAGCTTTCGAAATGCGTCCTGACTCGTGTGAGCTCGCTTGTCAACATCGTCCTGAGCTTTCGCACAATTTAGGCTCGCCACTGAGTTGATCGAAGCTAACCAAACGGAAACTTGGGCCTTCATGCAGCCAACATTCACTGCAAGCCATAGCAATGGCTGAAGCAAATTTCAATTTTGCCTTGGTCAGCAAGGCCCAAGAAGACAAGTGCCTTGTTGTGGAATCAGTACATCCTCCAAGGACCAACTGGCTTGGACTTAAAGCATAAACTGGGCTGTCTTCTGTCCATCGGTTATTCACGTTCCTCTTCGGCCCTTCGCCCTTGATGAAGCCAAAGCCTTTATCCAGCATTCTTCCCAGCGTGCCCTTCTTCTTGGCTTTGGCTTTGGGCTTCACAGAAGCGTACCAACCATGTGTACCTGAACGTCTCCAGCAGCGTGTTGCTTAATGAGCTGGATGTCAACTTTTTCAAGATCCTTTTCATGCTGTCTTTGTCAGCTCCCGATTGCCACTTTGATCTTCGTTGCAGAACCTGTTTTCTTCAGAGGCAGGACGTCGAATGTGTGCTCCGGCTGAAGGAACCAGCCTACTGGAATGTCCAATGGACACAATTGCAGACATTCATGTGGCAGCTCGGCAGGCCTGGCTGGTTGAAGAGCTTCCTGGGGCAAGGCAGAGGAACACAAGGAATTCCAAGGTTGGAATCAAGACTTGCGGCACAAATCAGTTATGTGGAGTCATGCGAACTGCTGCGGGCATTGACGATGCAGGTCCTTCGTGAATTGGTGTGGAGTATTCTGAACGAAGTGCACCAAAGAGTACTCACGGCAAAGTAGGTTGTCTAGTTAGTTATTTTGGACTTTTTGCATTTTGATTTCTAGGGCAAGAGGACAATAGTATCGTGCAGTAGCAAGAGAATAACTATCTTAAAAAAGAATTATGTTATTCCCCACCTGCCAGGTGAGGGTTGTTAGATTTTATCACAGCTGTTCTTCCTCCGCCTCCGCCTCCGCCTCCGCCTCCGCCTCCGCCTCCGCCTCC